AGCCTCCAAAGTGCTGGGGATTAAGCGTGAAGCCACTGTTCAAGCCTTTGTGTAGGTACCTATAACAAACTTGCTATTACTGTTTAAGACAGTTTTCCTTCATAACCAAAACATATTCGGATTGGAGTTGCATGGCCTCACACCTGTACATCCCACGCACTTGGGGAGGCTGGAGCGCAGGAGGACTGCTTGAGCCCAGGAGTTCAAGACATGCCTCGGGCCACATAGCAAGTCTCATCTCATCTGAACACATTTTAAAAGCGGGTGAGCACATATACACCATGGAATACTAGCGGGCCCAAAGAAAGGATGAGTCCTGTGTCCTTTGTAGGGACATGGATGGCAGCTGGAAATCCATCATTCTTAGCAATACTAATCACCAGAACAGAAAACCAAAACACTCGCTCGTTCTCAGCCATGCTGGTGGAACTGCAACAATGCGGTCACCTGGCAACTCGGGAGGGGAACATCACACCACCCAGGGCCCTATCATGGGGAGTGGGAAGGGGGAGACGGATTGCATTGTGCGGAGTTATACCTGATGTAAATAACGAGTTGATGGGGCAGGCTGAGGCATAAGAATCATTTGAACCTGGGAGGTGGAGGTTGCAGTGAGCCAAGATTGCACCCCTGCACTACAGCCTGGGAGAGAGCAAGACTCTGTCTCAAAAAAAAAATTTTTTTTTGTCAGCAATATGAACTTTTTAAAGAATTTAAAAAGAATTTTACAAACATAGCTTTACACAACTCTGTAAAGTTAGCTGGTATAAAACTACCCATTTTACATATGAGACACTGGGGCAGAACGGGATCAAATAATTTTTTTTTTGAGACAGAGTCTCGCTCTGTCGCCAGGCTGGAGTGCAGCGGCACGATCTCGGCTCACTGCAACCTCCGCCTCCTGGGTTCAGGTGATTCTTCTGTCTCACCCTCCCGAGTAGCTGGGACTACAGGTGTGCACCACCATGCCCAGCTAATTTTTTTAAATTTTATTTTTAGTAGAGACAGGGTTTCACCATGTTGGCCAGGATGGTCTTGATCTCTGGACCTTGTGATCTGCCCACTTACCTGTGTGTTGCACGGTGGTCATCGCCTAAGCGTCAGTCTCCCTGTTACCTGTGTGTTGTATGGTGGTCATCGCCTGAGCGTCAGTCTCCCTGTTACCTGTGTGTTGTACGGTGGTCATCGCCTGAGCGTCAGTCTCCCTCTTACCTGTGTGTTGTATGGTGGTTATCGCCTGAGCATTACACTGCAGCTGTAACATGTGCCTCAGCATTGCCACTCCCCATATAGTCACGTCGGGACACGACTCAGGTGTCACTGCTGCTGTGAGCTGAGAGGAGTTCACACCTGTTGGGATGGCCTGTAAACCGGCTGCTTCTAGCTGCCTGCACAGTACAGAAACACAGACAGCACAGAGGAATTTGTGCTCCGGGCTGTGGTTTTCAGTATGGGGCAAAAGGTTGAAAACAGCATCATAATTACTGTCATACTTCCCATTAGCATCGCATCCAGGAATCGGGGTCTCAATCATATTGCCATTTTTCTCACTCTCTCCTCGGCCATAATTAAGTGTCTTGACCTGATTGTCGCTTTCTGGTAAACAGATGTCCTTGTTACTAATCTTAACACAAAGCTTCTTCATGATTTTGCGAACATCCTCAACTCCCACCACAAGAGTCAACCTCAGGGCAATGTGGCAAAAGACACCCAGTGTGAGAAGCAGCCCCCCCAGAGGACATTCTGTCCTGTGGTAGAGCTCCCAGGCCTGCTGCAAACACTCCTGGCTGCAATACTTGGCATAACTGCATCCGTCACACGGAACTGTGGCCAAAGTGTGCTTCAAACATCGGTGACAATACAGGTCCCCATTGGTGACTCTGGTGTCCCACTGGCTGTCTAGGCCGTGATGCGGTGGTGGCAGTTCTCCGGGGTTGAGAACACTCACAAAAGCATCCTCCTTCACCAGGAGCTCTCCTGGGCGAATATCTTTCGTGGCAACGAGATAGCGACCTTTTAAAGGATCTATGCACAAGCCGACGGATGATGAGGCGTTGGAAACTCGTTCATTCTCTCCCCTGAGCGCCACATCCTCGAGGGTTTTGGCCAGAGTTGCTGGGAAGGTTTCTGTGGGACTCTCCTTTTCCTGTAGCTTCGTTTTCAGATGATGGAGGTTTCTCTGCAGAGTCTGACGGGGGACATCTGCTAGGGTTGGTGTGGCCGTGAAGTTCCTTTCAAGATCACCGACGGTCTGGCTCGCCTCCTGTAGTCTCCCCAGGGCCACCAGACATTCTGCTTTACGTAACATGACCTTGGGCTGCAGCCTTTCTGGATAGCCATGCATCTGTGCTCTGCTAATGTCTTTAAGGCACGTCTGAAAACAGAAAGAAAATCCCACAATGACCCTTGGTCCCTAGTCTTCAACGTTTACTGAAAATATTTCCAAAAATCTATAGGAAAGTTAAGGATTACTAAAAATGGAACAATTACAACCACACGCTTATTTAAATCATATAGTTTTGAGTGATCCTTTCAGTGATTAGCAATACTTGTTGAAGATATTGGTATGCTTAATATTCTTGGATTAAATATTTCTATTTTTTAAGGAAAAAAAGTCTTCTGGATACAAGAATTATAGTATGGGCCGGGCATGGTGGCTCAAGCCTGTAGTCCCAGCACTTTGGGAGGCCGAGGCAGGCGGATCACGAGGTCAGGAGATCAAGACCATCCTGGCTAACACGGTGAAACCCCGTCTCTACTAAAAAATACAAAAAACTAGCCGGGCGAGGTGGCAGCGCCTGTAGTCCCAGCTACTCCGGAGGCTGAGGCAGGAGAATGGCGTGAACCCAGGAGGCGGAGCTTGCAGTGAGCTGAGATCTGGCCACTGCACTCCAGCCTGGGTGACAGAGCGAGACTCCGTCTCAAAAAAAAAAACAAACAAGAAAAGTTATAAAGGGTTAAATGTACTGGAAGTTCTTCTTCCTAATCATTGGCCTCAGTAGTCAGGACTTTCTTGCTTAGAGTCTAGAGTTAGATTCCCGCTTTTCTCTTTTAGTCTGAAGGGCAGGTAAGTGTGGACTTCTTACTATTCTAATAGTTCTCAACTCTAGGGTATAATTTGAATTTTTGTAGAATTCTGAAACAGATGTATCAAAATGGCATTTTAGAGCTTGTCCTTAGACTTCTCTAATACAAATTCCAGATGCTTCAGAGATATCCTCCTAAAACATTAATTTGATTTTGGTCACTTCCTGTTTTAAAAACTCCACTGACACGGCTGGATGTCTGGCTCACGCCTGTAATTCCAGCACTTTGGAAGGCTGAGGCGGGAGGATCACGAGGTCAGGAGATTGAGACCAGCCTGAACAACGTGGTGAAGTGCTATCTCTACTAAAAATACAAAACTTAGCCAGGCATGGTGGCGGGTGCCTGTAGTCCCAGCTACTTGTGAGGCTGAGGCAGGAGAATGGTGTGGACCCGGGAGGCGGAGTTTGCAGTGAGCCAAGATCGTGTAACTGCACTCCAGACTGGGTGACAGAGCAAGACTCTGACTCAAAAAAAAAAGAAGCAAACAGTATACTTTGCAAACACTTGGAACCTGAAGTATTAGCAGCAATATGTCACTCAGCTAATCCTGACACTGAGCACTGCTGACCTGTTGGATACAGTCCACATCCCCAGGGAATGTCCCATCGCTCTTTCTTTCCTTTTTCTTTTGAGACAGAGCCCTCTCTCATCCAAGCTGGAGTGCAGTGGCACGATCTCAGCTCACTGACTCACTGCAACATCTGCCTCCCAGGTTCAAGGTATTCTCCTGCCTCAGCCTCCCGAGTAGCTGAGATTACAGATGCCCGCCACCTGCCCAGCTAATTTTTGTATTTTTAGTAGAGATGGGGTTTCACCATGTTGGCCAGGCTGGTTTCAAACTCCTGACCTTCAAGTGATCTGCCCGCCTTGGCCTCCCAAAGTGCTGGGATTACAGGCGTGAGCCACCGCGCCTGGTCCCATAGCTCTTTCTTGTCAATCAACACTATCGCATATGGTCACCTGTCATCAGTGAAATGACTCAGGAGAAAGAGCAAGTTTAGTTATTTATATATATTTTTTGAGACGGAGTCTCGCTCCGTCGCCCAGGCTGGAGTGCAGTGGTGCGATCTGGGCTCACTGCAACCTCCACCTCCCAGGTTCAAGCAATACTCCTGCCTCAGCCTCCCAAGTAGCTGGGACTGCAGGTGCCTGCTACCATGCCCAGTTCATTTTTGTATTTTTAGTAGAGATGGGGTTTCACCATGTTGGCCAGGATGGTCTTGAACTCCAGACCTCATGATCCGCCTGCCTTGGCCTCCCAAAGTGCTGGGATCACAGGTGTGAGCCACCACGTCTGGCCTAGTACATTTTTTTGAGATAGAGTCTCACTCTGTCACCCAGGCTGGAGTGCAGTGGTGTGATCTTGGCTCACTGCAACCTCCACCTCCTGAGCGATTCTCCTGCCTCAGCCTCCTTAGTAGCTGGGAGTACACTACACTCGGCTAATTTTTATCCCTGTATTTTTAGTAGAGATGGGGTTTCACCGTGTTGGCCAGGCTGGTCTTGAATTCTTGACCTCAAGTGATCCGCCTGCCTCAACCTCCCAAAGTGCTGAGATTACAGGCTTGAGCGCCCAGCCCAACTTTAGGTAGATGCTAATGTGCTTCCGATTCAACCAATAGCAGCATGACCTGATTTGAGAGCTCCATGGAAGAAGCAGAGACGAAGGTCTAGTCCTCCAGTGAAGGCCCCCCGGACCCTCTGCACGCACACTAGGTATCTGATACTCACCTCGTACTGACCCAGGTGGAAGAGGGCTGCCGAGCGGTTAGCATAGCACAGCGACATGTCCTCGGTGTTAGGCCTTGAATGTGACACACCCTGCAAAGCAATGAACTGGTTAGAGGTATAAATGGAAACTAGCATCTCTAAAGTACACTTTTCAGGTATTACGGGCTCCAGTACTAAAGACTGTGAAACTGGGAAAGTTACTGAACCTCGCTGTGCTTCAGCTTACGTTTTAACTACCTGAGAGCAAAGCTGTGAAGAGCAAGTGAGGACATCAGTATTAAAAGCACTTTGTCAGATACAGCTTCAACCACAAACAACACTGAAGGTGAATAAGAAACTGAGGGAAATACCTGCAAGCATAATATCCCATTTCTTGAATATAACAAAGGGTGGGTGGCACACATAGAAATTCACACAAGGAGAAACATAAATAGTTACAGAAAACAAATGATTAATTCACATAGCCAAATAGATGAAAATGAATGCAAAAAAAGGGATACTAGGATGGGCGTGGTGGCTCATATCTGTAATTCCAGGCTGAGGCAGGTGAATCATTTGAGGCCAGGAGCTCGAGACCAGCCTGACTAACATGACAAAATCCCGTCTCTACTAAAAACATAAAAAAATAGCAGGGCATGGTAATGTGTGCCTGCAATCCCAGCTACTTGGGAGGCTGAGGCATGAGAATGGCTTGAACCTGGGAGGCGGAGGTTGCAGTGAGCTGAGATAGTGCCTGAGTGACAGAGTGAGATGGTCACAAACAGACAAATAAACAAAAAAGAGTACTTTTTTCTATCACCAAATTGGCAAGGATTAATAATAACCATAAATATGGTACTCAAGTAAAGGTAGGAAAGATGGTGAGTATTCAATAAAAGTACTGGGATAAGACTCGATGTGGTGGCTCAGGCCTGCAACCCCAGCACTTTGGGAGGTCGAAGCAGGTGGATCACTTGAGGCCAGGAGTTCGAGACCACCCTGACCAACATGACAAAAACCCATCTCTACTAAGAAAAATACAAAAATTAGCTGGGCGTGGTGGCGCACGCCTGTAATCCCAGTTACTCGGGTGGGTGAGGCAGGAGAATTGCTTGGATTCAGGAGGCAGAGGTTGTGGGGAGCTGAGATCATACCACTGCACTCCAGCCTCTGTCTCAAAAAATAATAATAATAATAAAATAAACATATATATATGGATAAGTAGGTAGACGATGAGCAAAATAAAGTGATAAATCTTTCATTAGATAAACTCCAAATACATCAAATTCTTAATGTAAAAACAAAGCAACAGGAGCACTGAAAGAACTATAGAAAGCATGCAAAGTAATGCTGGAAGAATCCCTGACTATGACACAAAACCCAGAGGCCATAAAAGGTGAATAAACTTGACCGCCTGAAAATAAACAATATCTTCACACCAAAAACAAACACAAGCAAAAGGCAAACACTGAACTGGAAAAAAATCTGCAATTCATATTATAGGCAAAGAGTTGATTTCTTTACTTTGTCAAGATTTCCTACAGATCACTAAGATGACAACCAATAAATCAACAGGAAAATGGGCAACGATATGGACAGTTCTCACAGGAAATAAAAATGGCTCTTAAATATGTGAAAAAAAATGCTCAGCCTCATACAATCAATAAAATGCAAATTAAAACTGTACAGAAAGGCCATTTTTTACCTATCAGGCAAAGCAAAATAAAATTGATGGCACACAGAGCTGGTCAAGGAGTGGGATAATGGACATTCTCATTATGCGGTTAGTGGGGGTGTACACTGGTTTCATAATTACCGAGGGTAATTTAGCAATATATGTCAAAATTCTATATGTATGTATACCTTATATACATATAAAATATCCATTGACCCAGCAATTCCTCTTCTAGGAATTAATCCTACAGATACAATCATTTATCATACAGTTATATATGAAAAATGACATTCATGCAAGGGTTTTTTTTTCTTTTTCTGAGGCAGAGTGTCTCTTTGTTGTCCAGGCTGGAGTGCAGTGGGGCGATCTCAGCTCGCTGCAGCCTCCGCCTCCTGTGTTCAAGAGATTCTCCTGCCTCAGCCTCCCAAGTAGCTAGGGTTACAGGCACATGCCACCATGCCCAGCTTATTTTTGTATTTTTAGTAGAGATGGGGTTTCACCACATTGGCCAGGCTGGTCTTGAACTCCTGACCTTAGGGGATCCACCTGTCTCAGTCTCCCAAAGTGCTGGGATTACAGGTGTGAGCCACCGTGCCTGGCCCTGTGCAAAGTTTCTCATCACAGAATTGTTTGAAATAGCAAAAGATAGGAAACAAGCATTGATCCACAGGATACTGGTTACATAAATTGATACACCCATTTAATGGAACACCATGTAGCCATAATAAAGAATAAGGACGCTCTTTTTTTTTGAGACAGAGTTCTGCTCTTTCGCCCAGGCTACAGTCAAGTGGCATGTTCTTGGCTCACTAAAACTTCCGCACACCCCTCCACCCCACCCCCCGCACTGGGGTTCAAGCAATTCTCCTCTCTCAGCCTCCCAAGTAGCTGGGATTATAGATGCATGCCCCACCACGCCCAGCTAATTTTTGTATTTTTAGTAGAGACAGGGTTTCGCCCTGTGGGCCAGGCTGGTCTTGAACTCCTGACCTCAGGTGATCCATCTGCCTCGGCCTCCCAAAGTGCTGGGATTACAGGTGTGAACCACCGCGCCCGGCCTGAGGATGCTCTTTATGTACTGAAATGGAATGATCTTTAAACTATTACTGTTGAGTGGACAAGGCACGATGCTGAACAATATGTGCAGAATGTTACGGATGTAAAAACATGGTGTGTGTGCAGGAGTGGAAGGCTGTATTTACACACGTCTGGAGTACGCTCTGGAAATACACTCAACGGTGCTAGTTTATGGGAACAGAAAATCACGTGGTCAGGGGACAGGAGAGGCAGACGACACTGTACACTCTTGCACTTTTAAAATCTACGTGAACAGATTCTCTACTCACAAATAAACCGATATAATAATAAAACTGTAATCATCACAACCACTACTGCTCGGGATATGGAGAAATGAACATTCCTGTACTCCGCCAGCAGGGATGTTAACTAGTTCTTTCCTGGAGAACAATTCAGCATCAAGTACCAAAGGCCTGAAAAAATACATTCCTTCTGCCCCAGCAATTACCCTTCTAGGAATTTACCCTAAGCAAGCAATCAGATATATGCAAATATTTACATAGAAAGATGCTCATTGCAGTGTTATGATCCCGAACAATTTGCCAACATTAGGAGATGTGAAATCAAGTACGGCTTTTTCTCTGTCATGGAACACTAAGCCAGCCGTAAAGCATCATGTTCCAGTGGAAAATTTAATAACATGAGAAAATGGGCACAATCAATTGTCGAGGGAAAAAGGCAGGTCACAAAACAGAAGGTGCAGCATTATCCCAATTTTGTAAAAACATATTTTTGGAGGAAAAAGTCTGGCTGGATGGATGTAAGCAAAAACGTTAACAGTGCCTATCATGGGTTATGAGGTTTTTTTCCTCTTTGTGCTTCTCTGTACTTTTCGAAGTAAACATATATTACTTTTACAATCAGATAAAAACAACAAATATTTTTACAAAGAGAACAGCAGCTTTCTAGAAAATTGCAGAGCACCGTAATCACCGACATACTGGCTTCATGAAATAGGCAGGCTCATCTCCCTCTGCAGTCAGAGCAAGCCTTAATTTTTTCTCTGGCTTCAGTTTTTATTTTCCCTGTTTTCCTTGAAGAACTTCCCATGTGATCACATTTATGATGCACATACATAAAGTTGAAGAGATTAGCTCTGAAAAAAGAACTATTAAGCCATTTATCACTGGATCATTACACCTAACGGACTTTAATCCCTCAGCAATCACTAAAGCTTACATTATTTAGCTAAATACTTTATTATAACACTACAAAGCAGGGATTTTATCAGCTGTAGAAGCTGCTGTTGTAGGTGTGATCGTTTTTGGAAAATTAATCCCAAACTGCAAGCATGTTCAAGCATAAACCTGTTAAAGATTCAGAGTAGGATCCACACCCTTCAAATGAAAAAAATTGTTTGTTCTGAACAGAGACAGGGCCTCGCTGTGTTACCTAGGCCTGCCTTGAACTCCTGGGCGCAGGCGATCCTCCCGCCTGGGTCTCCTAAAGTGTTGGAATTACATGAGTGAGCCACTGTGCCCAGCCTACCCTTCAAATTTAAACTTACTCTTTTAATATCCAAGGTCACAGAACTGGTGTAAGAGATTGATATGTTCCTGCTTTAAGCCCATGTAAGTCTCTTAAAAGCTATGGAAGGAAGTTGCTCAAGGGATCTTGTTCCAGTTCTTACTATGAAAGCAGGACAACAAGAATCATTTATACATTATGGTATAGATGGGGTCTTGCTATGTTGCCCAGGCTGGTCTTGAACTCCTGGGCTTAAGCAATCCTCTTGCCTCAGCCTCCCGAAGGGCTGGGATTACAGGTGTGAGCCACTGTGCCCGGCCAAGAGTAACAGATGACTGATTCCATCAAGCTAACAGTCTCATCACACATTCAGACAAAAGTGGCATGCAGTTCAACAGCGGCTGACAGACATGGGCAAGGCAGGCAAGGGGCCAGTAAGCTTACCGCTACAAGGTATCGGAAGGAATATGGACACAGAAGTTTCTTGAATAAATTCAGAACACATAAATTACTTTTTTTTTTTTTTTGAGGCAGGGTCTCACTCTGTCACCCAGGCTAGTGCAGTGGCACAATCACAGCTCACTGAAGCCTGGAACTCCTGGTCTCAGTGACCCTCCTGCCTCAGCCTCCTGAGTAGCTGACACTGATATGGTAGGTGGGCAGGGAACGCTGCATAAAGGCGGGTCCCTGGCTAGGGCTTCACCCTCGGGCCGTGCCCACTGACCTAGGTGAGGACAGGCACTCCTGCCTTCACGCCCGAATGTTGCATTTTCCAAGACCACCCTGGTCTGCCACGCCCCCAGCCTGGGCCTATAAAAACCCAAGACCCCAGCAGGCGGACACATAAGCAGCTGGACGTTGTCAGGAGTATGCCGGCAGAAGAGCAGCCGGCAGGCACCAGCATGCCACCGACCAGTGGCAGAACAACACAGCGTTTGGCCACAGCAGTTGGAGAAGAGTTGGGTCGCTGAGTGGCCGGACTCCAGGGGAAAACCATCTCCCTTCTGGCTCCCCAACCTGGTGCGAGCTACTTCTACTCAGTAAAACCCTGCACTCATTCTCCAAGCCCACGTGTGATGTGATTCTTCCAGTACACCAAGGCAAGAACCCGGGATACAGGAAGCCCTCTATCCTTGCGACAAGGTGGCGAGTCTAACTGAGCTGGTCAACACAAGCCGCCTAGAGACAGCAAACTAAAGTAGCACCATGGAACACACGCCCACTGTGGCTTCAACTGTAAACATTCAACCATAGACACTGCCCTCGGGTCAGAGCCCCACAGCCTGCCCGTCTATATGCTCCCCTAGAGGTTTGAGCAGCAGGGCACTGAAGAACCAAGCCACACTTCCACTGCACGCCCTGTGAGGGGAACAAGGGAACCTTTCCCGTTTCAGGACCACAGATGCATGCCACCACCAGTCGGCTAATTTAAAAATTTTTTTGTGTGTGGAGAAGGGGTCTCCCTATATTGTCCAGGCTGGTCTTGAACTCCTGGTCTCAAGTGATCCTCCCGACTCAGCCTCCCAAAGTGCTGGGATTACAGGTGTGAACCACTGCACTGGGCCTATAAACTACCTTTTGTTTTAGACTATAACCACAGCAGAATTCTGTCAGGTTTCTTTTTAAAATCCATTCAATACATTATAGATAAAGGTAACACTGGCTATAAAATTTAGCAATACGGCTCTACCTCCTGAAGAAATATGCATTGTTAAATTGCTGAGCTGGGCCAGGCATGGTGGCTCATGCCTGTAATCCCAGCACTTTGGGAGGCTGAGGCAGGCGGAACACCTGAGGTCAGGAGTTTGAGACCAGCCTGGCCAACATGGCGAAAACCCATCTTTACTAAAAATACAAAAATTAGCCAGGCATGGTGGTGCACGCCTGTAATCCCAGCTTCTCGGGAGAATGAGGTGGGAGGATTGCTTGAATCCCAGAGGTGACGGTTGCAGTGAGCTGAGATCGCACCGCTGCACTCCAGCCTGGGCAAGAGAGCAAGACTCTGACTCTAAGAAAAATAAACAAATAAATTGCTTGAGCTGGGAGTGTTTTACCTTAGAATACAGCACTGCAGCTCCTGTGTAATCTTTCTCCTGAAATTTTTTGTTTCCTTGTTCTCTGTAGAAAAGGGGAGCGTCTGAGTCCTTTCCCACCAAGTAACCTTTAGAAAGTCTTTTTAGAAACAGTTCATCCTCAGGTCTGCGTGAAGAGAGGAAGAAACAAAAGCAACAGAAATGCGTTATTTCAAGGAAAGCTCCAAACCATTGCCTTCAAAACAAGAAAGCGGGCCTGCAAAACATTTCGCACACATGAGGATGTGTATATTGTGCAATGTGATTAGAGGAAAGAAATTCATAGTCTCAGAGACACGGGGACCAGAATTTTTTTGAGACAGGGTCTCACTCTGTCACCCAGGCTGGAGTACAGTGGTGCCATCTCCACTCACTGCAGTCTCGACTTCCCAGGCTCAGATTCTCCCACCTCAGCCTCCTGAGTAGCTACACTAATTGGGAGGATGTGTGCCACCAGGCCTGCCTAATGTTTGTACTTTTTGTAGAGGTGGGGTTTTGCCATGTTGCCCAGGCTGGTCTTGAACTCCTAGGCTCAAATGATCAGCAGAATTTTTTTCTTTTTCTTTTTTTTTTTTGAGATGGAGTCTCACTGTGACCCAGGCTGGAGTGCAGCGTCATGATCTCGGCTCACTGCAACCTCCACCTCCCCGGTTCAAGTGATTCTCCTGCCTCAGCCTCCTGAGTAGGTGGGATTACAGGCGTCCATCACCATGCCCAGCTAATCTTTGTATTTTTAGTAGAGAAAGCATTTCGCCATGTTAGCCAGGCTGGTCTCGAACTCCTGACCTCAAATGGTCCACCTGCCTCAGCCTCCCAAAGTGCTGGGAATACAGGTGTGAGCCCCCATGCCTGGCTAGAATTTCTATTTAGAGGACTGAATGCTAATTTTTTATTCTTTATCTCATAATTATTGGCCAATGAACCATCCCTCAGATCATACATCATAAATATCTTTTTTTTTTTTTTGAGACAGAGTTTCGCTCTGTCACCCAGGCTGGAGTGCAGTGGCACAATCTCAGCTCACTGCCAACTCTGTCTCCTGGGTTCAAGTGATTTTCCTGCCTCAGCCTCTCCGAGCAGTGGGGATTACAGGCACGCACCACCACGCTCAGCTAATTTTTGTTTTTTCAGTACAGGCGGGGTTTCACCATTTTGGCCAGGTTTGTCTTGAACTCCTGACCTCAAGTGATCCGCCTGCCTGGACCTCCCAAAGTGCTGAGATGACAGGCGTGAGCCACTGTGCCCAGCCAGGGTCTTGAGTCTGAAGAATGAGATAAATATATGGTGTATTTTCAACCAAGGAGTATTCCCCACTTCAACTGCTGAAAATACTTGAGTGGCTGACAGAAAAGAAGAGAGATAATGAGAATGAATCATAAAGTAAACGTAGTAAAACATTAACGCTTGCCAAATTTGGAAGAATTCACCAATTCTTCGTACTTTTTTTTTTGGAGACAGAGTCTCCCTTTGTCACCAGGCTGTAGTGCAACAGTGGCATGATCTGGGCTCACTGCAACCTCCGCCTCCCGGGTTCAAGCGATTCTTGTGCCTCAGCCTCGGGAGCAGCTAGGATTACAGGTGTGAACCACCACGCCCGGCTAATGTTTTGTATATTTAGCAGAGATGGGATCTCATCATGTTGCCCAGGCTGGTCTTGAACTCCTGAGCTCAGGCAATCTGCCCACTTTGGCCTCCCAAAGTGCTAGCATGACAGGTGTAAGCCACTGTGCCCAGACTCTTTGTACTATTTTTGCAAGTCAGTCTGAAATTATTTCCAACTAAAAAGTTTAATAAATATATAAATGCGCTACGTAATAAAATTAATAAAGCTGAGCTAACACATATAGAGACATATACACATATACACATACTAACAAAAAAATACCTATCTTCCAATAAAAAGAAATAATATACAATAACCTAGACTATTGTCTTTGACTATAATGCCATAAAGTAAAATACGAATAACAAAAGTAGAAACACAAATGACATGGAAACTAAAAATTCTCTTAAGCAACTCTTGAATCAAAGAAGAAATCACAGAGCTGCAGAATGGCCGGTGCGGTGGCTCACGTCTGTAATTCCAGCACTTTCGGAGGCTGAAGAGGGAGGATTGCCTGAGCTCAGGAGGAGGCCAGCTGGGGGAACATGGGAAGACCCTGTCTCCACAAAAAATACAAAAATTAGCTGGGTGTGGTGGCACATGCCCATAGTCCCAGCTACTTGGGAGGCTGAGGAGGGAGGACTGCCTGAGCCCAGGAGGTCGAGGCTGCAGAGAGCCGTGATGGCCCCACTGCACCCAAGCCTGGGTGACCGAGTGAGGCCCTGTCTCAAAAAAAAAAAACAGAACAAAAAGTCCTGGAGAATGTTTACAAGTATTTTTAAAATTTTTGTTTACAAAGACCCACAATAAGAAATACCTCTTACACTGTGACTCAGTATAACGCTTTTGTGTTTGAATATATGAAATTTTATAAACCATTATTTATCTTTGCTACGTATGAGGTAAAAACAAAGTTAGTATCAAATATGATTTTATTAATATTTAAATACAACATATGAAAGTCACAAATAGGGCTGGGCGCGGTGGCTTATACCTGTAATCCCAGCACTTTGGGAGGCTGAGGTGGGCAGATCACCTGGTCCAGGACTTTGAGACCAGCCTGGGCAACATAGTGGAACCCGTATCTATAAAAAATACAAAAATTAGCCAGGCGTGGTGGCAAGCACTTGCAGTCTCAGCTATCGGCAGGCTGAGGCACGAGAATCGCTTGAGCCCAGGAGGCGAAGGTTGCAGTGATCTGGGATTGCACCACCACACTCCAGTCTGGGTCAAATAACACAAAAAAGAAAAACTAGGAATGATTTTATTTAATTTAAGAGGTATGCTTGCCTGTTCTACATTTACTCCAGTCCAGAAAATATGAAGGCAAAACCCTATGCCTGTCTGCTACACCATAGAGCTTGTTCTTTTTTCTGTTTTTGTTTTATTTATTTATTTATTTATTTAGAGATGGAGCCTCGCTCTGTCACCCAGGCTGGAGTGTAGTGGTGCAAGCTCTGCCTCCTGAGTTCACACCATTCTCCTGCCTCAGCCTCCCAAGTAGCTGGGACTACAGGTGCCTGCCACCACGCCCGGTTAATTATTTTTGTATTTTTATTAGAGACAGGGTTTCACTGTTAGCCAGGATGGTCTCGATCTCCTGACCTTGTGATTCTCCTGCCTCGGCCTCCCAAAGTGCTGGGATTACAGGCATGAGCCACCACGCCCAGCATCTGTTTTTGTTTTAAATTAGGTTAAACCTAAAAATCCTAGTTCAAACAAAAGGTTTGTGGTAAACAGTAATAGCAAAATTCTTCTTGCCTAGCAACAGACGATGAACTCGACTTTTTTTTTTTTTTTGAGATGGAGTCTCCCTCTGTCACCCAGGCTGGAGTGCAGTGACGCAATCTGGGCTCACTGCAAGCTCCGCCTCCCAGGTTCATGCCATTTTCCTGCCTCAGCCTCCCGAGTAGCTGGGACTACAGGCACCCACCACCATGCCCGGCTAATTTTTTTTTCTATTTTTAGTACAGACGGGGTTTCACTGTGTTAGCCAGGATGGTCTCGATCTCCTGACCTCGTGGTCTGCCCGCCTCGGCCTCCCAAAGTGCTGGGATTACAGGCGTGAGCCACCGCGCCCGGCCTTGAGTTAATTTTTGGATATAAAGGCCCAACTACAGCCTTCTGCATGTAGATTGTCATTAGGATACAGACCAAAAAAAAACAACACAGTTTTTCTTCCTGCATCCTCGCCTTCTCTCCTAGAACCCTGGGGATGTAAAGCCTTTCACGGAGCTAACTGGCGAAGCAGAAAGTCCCAGCTCTGGCCCCAAAGTAGAGTGCAGATTACTGAGATTGGACATAATAGCTTAATAACTGGGACATATCCACATATGCACCATTTTTTCTCTAAGCCATTTGAAAGTAAGTACAGGCATCATGGATGTTCACCTCTAAATATTTGCAGGCCTCTGCTTTAAAAATAAGGACATTCTCCTATGTTACCATAATATCATTATCACTAAAAAATAACAGTAATTCAAATATTTAAATTTAAATGTTACCAATTATTCCTAAAATGTCTGTTGTATCTTTTTCTCACCCTAACCAATCCAAGATCAATGTTCTCGTGTATTGAATTTAATTATTTCTCTTTAGTCTTCTTTTAGATAGTGCTGTTATTTTTAAATTTATTTTTAATTTTTTTTTTTTTGAGACAGGGTCTTACTTCCATTGCTCAGGCTGGAGTGCAGTGGTACCACTGCTCACTGCAACCTCTACCTCCTGCCTTAGCCTCCCGAGTAGCTAGGACTATAGGCACGTACTGCCACGCCCAGCTAAATGACTTTTTATATAAAATACAGATGGGGTCTCACTGTGTTGCCCAGGCTGGCCTCCAACTCCTGGGCTCAAGGGATCTACCTGCTTCAGCCTCCCAAAGTGCTGGGATTATAGGTGTGAGCCACTGCACTTGGCCAACTATAATTTTTTGGGTTTTTTTAATGCGTAATTTTTTTTTAAAAGATTCAACACCAGAAAAATGTTTCACATTCTGGTTTTGCCTCATTGTTTCCTCATGGTTAGATTCACATTAAACAATTTTTATTAAGAATATGGCTGGGTGCGGTGGCTCACACCTGTAAACCCAGCACTTTGGGAGGCTAAGGCAGGTGAATCACCTGGGGTCAGGGGTTCAAGACCACCCTGGGCAACATGGTGAAACCCCGTCTCTACTAAAAATACAAAAATTAGCCAGGCACAGTGGCGCATGCCTGTAATCCCAGCTACCCAGAAGGCCGAGGCAGGAGAATCGCTTGAATCTGGGAGGCAGAGGTTACAGTGAGCAGAGATCACGCCACTGCCCTCCAGCCTGAGAGACAGAGCGAGACTACGTTGCAGAACAAACAAACCAACAAAATGACTACATAGTTAAATCTATATACTTCTTGTTGCCTCAAATCAGGAGACATATGATGTCTCCCCAGCACTGTGGAAGCTAAGTTTGGTCACTCAGTTAAGGTGGTAATTGCTGAATCTTTGCAATGTAAAGACACTTTTCCCTTATAGTTAAATAATCTATAGGG